TTACATACTAATATGGATTATTAGAATCACTATACAGATAATTTATATATTAAAATAAATACAACTCCGCTTTTTGGCGTACAATTGTTCAGCGAATCGTCGTGATAGGTAACCTGCTGGGAGTTACGCAGCAAGTAATACGATCGTACTTGAGACGTGACGGATAAAACGAAAGGGTTCGATCGAATAGATCGAAGGAGTTACCAGCGATTTAGTCCGTTTGAATTCTTTGAAAAAAGAGCTTTCGTTTCTCTTTTTCAAAAAAATAGGTAGATTGATTGGAATTTTCGGAAATAGCCAGTCCATTCAAGGACGCTGAAGTCAGTTTTTTTTTAAACATATCACCGACATTCCGACAAATTTTTATTTTCGGGTTAGTTTTTTTTTTTATTAACATATTTCCGACGTTCATATTCCCTAGGGTTTGCCTTTCCGACTTGGGTTAGTTCTTTTTTTAGAAAAATATTCCCTAGGGTTTGTCTTTCCGACTTGGGTTGGTTCTTTTTTTAGAAAAATATTCCCCAGTGTTTGTCTCTCCGAGTTGCGAATTAGTTTCTTTTACAAGCATATTTGCGAGGTCTTATCGACGAAGATTCGATCGACGTAAGATTCAATTATCGATTACTTTATCAACCGATTGTTTCCTATCAACCAAGATTTAACCCTTTTCCGCTTTATTTTTTTCGAAAAATATTCTCATATTGCCGACACGGTTATTTATCGGCGTTCTTATCTCCCGACTTTGGGAGAAAAAGCCCGAAGACCGTTACAAGTATTTCGGCCCGATTCCGAAGCATCGTTTAAAATAGAAAAGAAAGAAATTTGCCTACCATAGAATTGAACGTAGAATCACCGTTGCTCCGTTTGTTTTAACGTTTAGGCGGGAAAGTTACGGCACTGTGTAATTGACAACTTGTCCCAACATATTTATCCTTCGATCAAATGTGCGTTTATATTCTTTTTACAAATTATGTACAAATTACAGTTTAGGCTCTTGAGTTACAATAGGCGCGAGCAATACGTAAATAAGAAGTAATCGATGGTTACGGACCACCTCGAAGTTGGTTCGTCGATATAAAGGTGATACTAATTTTTGCAGGTTATACCGCAAGATGCGCATGGGTGAGTAACAGCGTCGACGCAGATATCGAGGTGATTGAAATTCGTCGTAGGACAGCAGTCGACGGTGAACTGTCTCGCGATGGAGTTGCGCGAAGTGAATCGTACTTTCGACGCTGCGGAAGAAACTACGGAACTTTTGCCGTCGTCCCATCGTGATGATAATATGGAAAGTTATTTCGTCGAATACGCTGTACAAAAGGAAATAATTAATCGCAATCGATGCCCTGCTAGTCGTCGATTACTTAGTCAAACGGCTCATTTGGCAGACTTTAATCTCGCCAATGGTAATCATCAAAAGGTGGTGTATCGCACACTTCTCTTCTCAGGTAGAACGATAGAAAGTGAACGAAAATCGTGTTTCAGGATACGTCCGTCGGAATTAGTATGATTCACACTTCGAATGCAAATTGGCCACCTTCTAGAAAGAGAGAAGAGGCGAAAGCGTTGGAAAATCTTCGAAAAAGAGTGGAACAATCGAAATTGTACAAAGCGAGTCGAATTTCGGATAGCTGCGGATCGACGTCTTTGGTTTTGAACAACGATCAAATTCGCCAGCTCGATAATCGACCGAAGCTGTTGAAAAAGGTTAGGTTAGCTTAGGTTAAGTTAGGCACATTTTTACTACCCTTCTTTCGTCCATAGATCCTGAGTAACAGGCCTATGAGTATCGCACACGACAGTAACGATTTGGAGACTGACTGGCGAGATAGCGAATTTATCACGGAATGTTTATGCTGGCACAATGTTTATCGACAAAGACACGACGCACCTCCCTTAACGATGTCGCCGCAGTTGTGCGAGTACGCGCAAACATGGGCCAATCACTTGGCGCATACGAATACATTTTACTATAGAAATGATCGAGAAGTGGGACAAAATCTTTACTGCCGACCTGGCGGTGCTGTGCCTACCGATGTCACCGGACAAGATGTTGCCTCCTATTGGTACTCCGCGGTGAAACAATACGATTTTTTGAAAGAACCAGATATTCTTCATGCCAACGTGAACGCAGGTATCGACGTCGTTACACGACGTACCTAAATATACCTACCCCGAGATTAATCGTCTCTTCCTTTACGCAAGGTCACTTTACGCAACTAATTTGGGCAAGTAGTCGTTACTTCGGAGTTGGAAAGGCTCGCAGTAGAAGCGGTAAAATCATCGTAGTAGCCAACTATCGACCCGTTGGTAATATATCCGGACAATTTCAAAATAACGTATTACCTCCTTTACCCGAAAATATCAATCTATCGTCCCCGCGGCAACCGTTCGCTAAAGTATTTCGCGTTGCATCCGATTCTCCACCGCCAACCTCGTCCTCCTCCTTTGTCCAACCACTTTCGACGGATAGCGATCGTTCTTCCGTCAGCTCCGCCCAATAATATAAACGACCGAATTGCCTCTTCTGCGTTTGCACGCGTCGATGGGACGCGCGTTGATTCGTCGTCGTTGTCCCGCCCTCTCTCGAATTGCGTAGAACAGGCATTGATAATCACATTGATGATTACGCTTCGTGGCAAATGTAAGCAGCGTGTAACGCTTAGTTTTTCCACTGCCTGGGCGAGCGAAAATCCAATGTGAACGAAATTGTTCTTGCTTAAACGTAGTGTGGAATAGAACGACTCGACGATTGTTGCACATAGCCAGGGAAGTAGTTAGGTAAATTAAAATTTGCGCTTTATAATTAGCATAGATTGTACATATTTGTTGTTGTTGTTGTTGTTGTTGTTATTGTTATCGAACCGTCACTTACGAAATGCCCGTTACTAAATAAATCGATCTAGTAAGAAGCACCTTAATTGTGGGAAATATTTTATTCGACGCTGTAAAGAAAACTCTTATTAAAAACGTACTGACAAATAGAAGAACGGTTTTTACAATTACCATCATCGTACGTGCCCGTTTATATTTCTGTTCGACGAGTTATTTCTGTTGTTATTTCTGCATGTATATTTATCGCATTCCGTTGTTGGTAAAACATTCGTCCGTCCAATGTCGAAGTTACAATTTTAGACTTGAAAGTAAGAAAAATACATGTAAACGCAATTTGCCCTCAAGTCTAGTACGCAATTTACTACGAACTGGATACACATCGCGCGAACGTAGAGACATGAAAACAGGTTGAATGTTTTCACCCAAAGAGACAAACCAGAGGAATTAAATCGGAATGAGAATAAAAATCTATAAGCGCTCGTTTTATATTTTTTTTCTTTCTTTCAGTTTTATTCGCTTTTCTCCACCTCCTTATCAGTCTTTTTTTTTCTTCGTCTTTCTTTTTTTTTTTTTTTTTTACTACGTGTGCACACACGGGCGTATGTGAAATGCGCATAGATTTTCACGTATATGCATACATGGTTTAAAAATTGCGCAGGCATAAGATATCGCGGAAATAAAGGTGGCGGCGCAGAGGAGAAGGAATAGCAGGAAGAGGAAGACGAGAAGTTTAGGAGAAACGAAGAGATACGTAAAAGAAACGCTTGTGTAAAGGCGTGTTTAAGTGAGTATCTTCGCGGAGAGGAAGAGAGAGAGAGAGAGAGGTTCGAACAAAGTCGAACAGTTTCGAAAATGGCGGCCAAAAGTGGTGGTAACGACGAATGGTCGTCGATAATGCAACCGATATTAGCAGTTTCGCACGGTTCGTTCGATAAAAATGAAATCTTTGAATTGGCAAAAAGTATCGTTAAAAGGTAAGAATTCTTATGTTCCGGAATACTAAGGTGATTGTAGTGTACGAAAATATCTTTCGATCGTACATTCGCAATGACACGATGACTGTGTTGCTTTCTTCGTTCATTTTTCTCGTACTTTTCAGCGAAAGTAAGTTTGTCTCTCGAGAAGAGCAATATGAAATGTTTTACGTATCTGTGGCAGCCCTAGCGGCAGATTATCTCAGCGATAGTGCCGATACATGTAAGTTCTGCATTTTTTATCAACCACACCGTAGGAAACGATCGACAAAATTCCTCCTTTACTTTTCAGTTTCCAAAAGTCAAATATCCATAGTTTGTCAAGCATGTAGAGTTTTGCTTCACCGTCTCGTAGACAAATTGTTCCAGCATCAGATTCAATTGGGAAATGGAACTGCTACTGTATTGAGTACGAAACAGTTGCTGCTTCCGATGCGTGCTCTTTGCATCGGACAATCTCTACTCTCGTCTACCGAAGAGGTGGCGTTGATCGCTATGATAAAAAATGCCAAGACACCACCTTATGTCAAGTCCCAGCCATCTCCGGGAATGGAGAAAGATATCACCTCTCAGTCGTCCAAAGATTCTGTACGAATTCGAGGTGATTTGTCTGGTAGCATTTTAGAACAATTGACCATGCCTCTGCAAGACTTTACGATGCCCGTGCCTCTTGTTGTCGTCGAAACTTCCAGCGAGAGTGTGACTAAAACCGCTAACGATAGTATGGTCAACGAATGTCATTCCGATGCTAAGGTACAAAATGCATATTTCGTATATCTAACGTGTTTGTTCTAAATGATTTACTTTTCACCATTTTGCAGACAACGTTTGTTCTGAATAATATAAATATTCTTCGAAGCATGGGAGTGGGTGACATGCTGTTGGATATATGTCTGAATCTTCCACATTTATCGTGTTACACCCGCAAATATCAAGCATATTTACATAAGAAGAGTTTCACCTTACCTGTCAATGCCTCCGACGCGCATGCTATACGTCATAATTTACACTGTGTATCGAACGACATTAATATCGTTTACAACGTAATGTCCTTGCCTTTGCTGGAACCTTTAACTCCGACCAAATTGGAGAAGCTATCGTTGTTGACAATGTCTTGTCTATATTGTTCGATCGTGTATGCGACTGCATCCAGCATCGTTGGAATAACGAATGCTGTCTCGCCGAAGTGTAGTACGAATACGAACGCTGCTGGCACGCAAACTGCTCAAGGTATCAAAAATACGGAAGAAGAGTACGACGCTTTGGCGATTACGGTGGTTGAGAAAAGTCTCGAAATATTTGGACTAGTCTCGAACGTGATTAAAAACAGTACGCGAGCAGGAGGTCATGTAAGGATGAATTTCAATTGCGAAGACACTGTTTCGGTTGTGCAGAAGTAACGTGTATCGATCGTTTGTAACAGATCCTACAAAATCATTTGTTGATCGGAGTATGGCTATTGCTGGCTGGTTTACAAGCTCAGCTTACGGTAAGCGGTTTAAGCGCGGCGGACAAAGGGAAAGAAGAGAAAGGAAAGTCACCGAGTAAAGCACGCGATGGAACGATTCGCGTCAACCTTATGAAAATGTAATACGTTACGTTCGATTCTCAAGGGGGTGGTGGTGGCGGCAACTGATAAATAATAAACTCTTGAATTATTTCAGTCAACAAGGTTTTGGAGTACTTTCCGTTGCCTTAGCCTCTCATGCGCTCACATTGATGAGCGCTCTCTTGGAAGACGTGTCGGTCGAAGCGACTGCCGATTTTTCGGTTCCACCCGAACCAGCTCCGTTGGATATACTTTCTACCGCTACTGCGCTTCAAAGGGCGGTCACTTTTCTACAAGCTGTGCCGCTTAATCACTTACTATTTTACTTAGCCACCATAAGTTACAGGAGGGTCGGTTGATAACAACGGTTGTGTTTACGCACTTCCTCGTTGCGCATTCTCTCTCTCTATATATATATATATATATGTATGTAACGTTTGCTCTTGTAAATTTATACCTTGCAGGCTTGTACCTTGAAGAGAATACAAAAGCATCCGTTTGAGGGCGACGCGTTAAGCCAATCCGACTCTACGACGTATTACGAAGATCTGTTAAGTTGTTCGGATAATTCGACCGACGAAGGTAAATAAGCATGTTATTGCGTAATACTAAATTGGAATTGTGGTTCTCGTACGCTGTTGCCGAAAAGGGGTACGTTTATGCCGTCGTCGCGTGCTTTTGACAATTTCGTGATCGATGTACGAAGGAAATAATTAATAGAATAAACAAACGCAGTTTCTCGCTGTGTATACGAAAAAAACTATTATGTCGATAGAGGAGGACAGCGAACCTATTTTGGGTTTATGGTTTGAAGAAACAATTGCTCCGTCCGATGCGTCATCCGCGAACGGTACGAAGGAATCCAACAACGAAACCAGTGCTGAACGAACTGTCGCTACCATCGTTCCTGACAATCGCGAACCTCACGGAGTAAGTTTTCACCTTTTGTTCTTTTCAGAGATATCCTTTCAATCGATAAAATTTCATTTTATTTCTTTTTTTTCTTTCTTTTTTTTGCCGCAGTACATATCACTGGCTACAAAAATTTTCCAATTTATGAATCAACATTTAATCGGTAGTAGAAGTTCGTACGTGCGTGAATATGTGGTGAACGGTTTAGTCGAACAACAGATGGTTATATTAGCGGCAATAATCAGAGATTTGGATCACGAAACTGCTAGGACAGAAACCGGTAAGTGATTCTAAATTTCTAATTTGTTGTGCAACAACGTGTAATGTCTTAATTTTAAAAGAAGAAGGTACACCCCGTTGATATCATCATTCGAGATCGTCGTACTTTCCATTTTAGGCACGATATCGGTGTTCTACGGTGCCACGTTGGGCACCATGTATTCTGAATTTTCTCAAGCTTTGAGCCGCTACACTCATAATTTACTTGCTCGAAATACGTTGAGTGAAAGTTTGCAAAACACGCTTCTTCAGCATTTAGGCGTAAATCCTTGGTCTGGGCTAGAAAGTACAACCCCGTGTACTTGGCCCCTTCAAGTCTATCCAAGAACCTTGAGTGTATTGGCACAGGTGCGCGCTCTTGTTGTATTTACGATATTTTGCGAAAATCTCTAACGATCTTATTATTTTGCTAATTTTATCGGCAATAGGTCCTGCTGTTAAAGCCTCAATCGGAAAAAGAAGCAGCTTGCATAAGTATATGGCATCGTTTGATTACAACTATGGTAGAGAATGTGTGTAATCCACCTGCTACATTCGAGGCAGAAAACGAAGGTAGGCGAACGGCGAATGCCCCCGTTGTTGTTACGTTTGTACGAAAATTAATTCGTTCTGTTTTATATACTTCCTAGTTTTTCTTTATCTCGCAATAGAGAATCTATACGCGTTATATTTATATCGATGTTTACAGATTTGAACGTGGAACATGCTCAATTGGTTCTGATTCTGTTCCACTCTCTTAATCTGATGCAAAAGAAATCGGTATTGCTTGTAACCGGTAGCGGTGCTGTGCGTTGTAGCGAAGCTGTCAAAACTCCGATGAAAGATTCTCAATTACTACATTTATCACGCTTACTATTATTACTCGAATATATGATGAAACATCTCTACGATGCACCTCCCGCGTTACTTGAACAAGTAAGTAAACATATTCTGTTGATTGATTCGTTCATTCTGCTTATTGTCGTTGCTACTCTACCTGTGAAAAAGCATTTGAACGTTCCCGTTCCCCGCGATGTTTTACCTTGTTCTTTTCCTCGCTTTCGTTTCACCCTTGACATATCTACGTTTCATCACATCGTCGTTTAATTACCCTGTGTTTCCTGTGTTCAACGGGGATTTAAAGAAACACGTTGCTCGTATTACGACGAATAACGTCGGTCTCTGTCAAATGCGAAACTAACTTTACGTTCGTTGTATATAAACGATACGTAACAAGATACCAGGGCCACCAAATCGAAAGATACATTTGAGCGGTAGTAAGAATCTTGTACATTTTCATTATGACATAAACGTAAGAATTTCATCACAGGCATGTTAATGGACCGACAATTGATTGTAATATGTAAATGATAATAACACACGTAGGTTCAGTGGAATCTATTTTCCGCCACGAGCCTGGTTTCTGACGCGAAAGATGGTAATAAACAGACAGCCCGTATTTTTACACCATGGACAGGAATTGAAGAGAATTATCGTAAAATTGGTAACCAGGATGAATTTTCGATGAAGCCTCGATTTTACAATCTTTCTACCACAGATTTCAACAATCAGGACACTCCGAAACTGGACGGATTGGTTCGTGAATCGTTAGAAAAAACAATAGTTTCCAGTCGCGAGAGTCACGGTGGTGTGTACCTAACCCCGTGTGTTTACTTTGCAGGCTTGTAATTTCATTTTGGGTGCACCGGATAAAATGAAATATCCGCTTCTTGTGGATGCGCTGATAGATATTCTGAACGTGTTGAATCAGGCAGATATGCAAAAGAAGATCAATACCACCGATAGTAAAGATAAAGGGTCGACAGCGACTGCGGTGGCGGCGCCCACTTTCATAGGATTGTGCGCGATTCGTTATTGTTTTTCCATATGTTGGCGGTAAGTGATGGATATTGCACGTGTATATCCGAATTAATGTACATCGAACAGGTGGACGATATGTTGAAACCTACTTGGAATTGCTTTTCCTGAATTGTTGACAGTTTATTGCTAATGTTACCACCGTCTACCCCATATATGGAT